TTATTATCATTATATAAATATCAAATTTGTTTAATAACGCTGTTTAATAATATGATATTTTACAAAATTTCATTGGAAAAGATTTTTTCTGAAATACTTATCAAAATTTTATGAATTATTTAACGTGTTTTTAATATATATATTCTTCTTATTATTATTAATAATTATATAAAATTTATTTACGTGACAATAACAATTCGTATATATATATATATATATAATATATTAAATTGTAATCACGTGTGTGTTTGATATTAATATATTCGGTATCGAGCGCAATGGACGGTAGAAAAAAAAAAGAAAAAAAAAAAGAAAAAAAAAACAAAATTATCCCTCGACGAATCGCAGACAAACATGCGCTAAAAGGAAAAGCAATAAAAATGTTTTTATTATTTTATTTCTTTCATTTGTGAAAAAAAGGCACGTGTGTTTATATCAGGTAGAAGAAAAGTCATTTTCCTTTTTTCTTTTTTTTTTTTTTCATTCGAGTTCGAGCTACACGGGGAGGAAAAGAAAAAAGAGAAAAAAAAACGATCGGTGTTGAAGAAACGATTTTGGGACTTGCAGGACTAGTTCTGATCTCCCTTCACCCCCCACCGCCACCATTTTCCTTTCTTCAACTGTAAAGATGTGATTCCTGGAGGAGAGTCGTACGAATCCGAACTCGAACGATCCTGGAAACAATTCGTGGTGTTTCTTTTTTCTTCTGTTTTTCTTGTTCTTTTATTTTTTTTCTTCTTTTTTTGGACGAAAACTTTATAGAAATTTACGAGCCCGACTTTTTAGTGTAACACTGACGCCGTTGTACGTGTTCTTCAGGTACCTGGGCTTGTCTTCTTTAAAATATCGTTGTCCCTTATTTCTCATTGGGTAGTACTACTTTTCCATTCGATATAAAGAAAGTAAGTACCTGCTGCATACGCTAGAGTATTTAGAATACCAAATACCTGAAAGAAAACAGAAAAAAAAAACAAATATTAATAACAATGTTTTAATGAATCTTTAAAAAGACACTCATAAAAATCCAATAGTGTGAAGAAAATATGAACTAAAAGTTAAATGAATAGAATAATATTTCTATCATGAGATCATCGTATTGTGATGTATCGTGTAAGTAAGATTATACACCTCTCTCTCTCTCATGTGTAATTTAATAATTGTTTATTAGTAAAGTAGTAGTGGTAGTAGTATTAATGTAAAGTAAACTAGTATTGCAGAGGAAACGAGAGAAAAGTAATAATACTGGAAGTTTTTACGTTATAGTTAGTATCAAAATAGATTTTTTTTTATCTCTGAATTTAATGAACATGATATGTATAATATATAAGTATAATATTTATCAAGTGAGTCACTCTAATTTCTCTCGCAATCACTGTTGAGAAGAAATGTGTTTCCTTGCGTTTTAAAAATGTATTACTGTGTTGTTTCGAGTATAATATTAATGGATTAAAAAAAGAAAATAAAAAACGACAAGATTTTTTGTCACAATTTTAGAAAGCTAAAAGCTCGTTTAAACGTTAATTATAATAAAATGACACTTCAATCGTCGAGAATGAAATATTAATTGTTTGTTGGTGTAAACTCTATTTTTTAATAATATACACGACACGCGAATAACGAATAACTTTAAAACGCTAGAACTTTATCCAATTATTTTTAATTACTTTTGTATTATTTTAACTGTTAATTAAAAGGAAAAATATTTTCTCTTTATCTCATTTTTTTTTTTTAATTTAAATAATAATAATTATATTTCTCGGTCAT